TTCATTCTGATCCACGCAAAACAAAAATAATTGTTATCACCAATTAAAATACGCTCTCCCAAATTTAATCGGTGACACAAGCATGCCCAAATAATAAATACCAAAACAATCCTCTCTCTCCTTGAGAAATTGTGTAAAAAAAAAAGGAATAAAAAGTTGAATTCACTCAATAAAATTTAAGATGGACATGGAACATACAAGAAAAAGGTTATCTGTGAAACGTGAACTCGACACACAACGTTTTTTGAATGCATCAACCAATCCCTTCCTTTCTAGAACTTAATAAAATTCAACGGAGCATGCTAACCTAACATGAAAATTATCAGCAGATAGTTGTAAATATTTACAAATTTGTATATGGGGTACACTCGTTTTTGATTGGTAGAGGTGTGACTATCTTATCCTTAAACAGGTGGATCGCGAGATAATCGTGTAACTTCTATAGATTTTAAATCTTTCAAAATGGAGTTCACATCTGTTACTGCCAACAACAACAATATTAATAACGAAAGCAAAAATACTTTTCAATTTCTTGCTTCTAGTCCTCCAAAGCAAACTAAAACACATCCACCACCCTCGACTGTTATTCATAAAGCTAATTATAAACATAACCCTTTAAAGTCACCAGTAGAATTACGACAAAAACGTATAGAACTTGACGTACAACTTCGTAGGAAACATCGTGAACAACTTATCACTGCAAAAAGATTTAAACATCATTTGGATGATTATAAAGATGATGAAGATGGTATTTTTCATAATTATAATTTATAATTGCTCTATTGCTAGTATTATTATTATTTATTTAAAACCTTTGCTTCTTATTGATCTTTAAGAACCAGAATTTGATTTGAGTCCAAAAGATATTGAAAAATTGAAATCAGGTTTAAATGTTGGTAAAAAGAAAGATAATAAATAGAAAGAAGGAAAGCAATTAATTTTGGGTAAAGAAGATAAAAGTTTTAAATAAAATATTTATTTTATTTATTTAGTTTTCTTAGTCGAAACTAATTAACTTGTTACCAAGTTACTTTTACATTAGGTTGAAATCAAGTTTTTTATATACGTGTTCTTTACATATTAGCCCGAATTGGGCGATTCTGTCCACTTTGTGCTTGGGAGATTTCGCCCGGTCTGGGATAATCGTCATTAATCTCTACTAAATAAAGTTAAATAAATATGAACGTGCTACGGATTAATTAAATAGACGGGACGTAACACGAATTCTGATGATAATAATTATACACGTTATCAATAAATAATTAGAATTAATAAAATAAAAATAATAAAAATAAGAGTAATGAAAATAAGAATAGATAATAAAAATAAAAATAAAAATAAAAATAGAAATAAAATTTAATTTGACCCGAAATTAAAGGATTCGGCCAAATTATCTTCGTCATCGTTTAATTCTGGTAACAATAGTAGTGGCAGAATGAGCAGAATGCAAAAAAGATGAGCAACCAAAAATTTTTTTTTACTTCATATAAACCTTTTTTAAGAGAGTATAAAAAGTACAAAAAATGTTTTCATAATATAAATACCATATTTAATAAAACCAAGGAAATTTTTTTCGCAAATTTTGTTTGATTGGTTAAAGACTTGTACTAATCACAAGTTTTTTGAATTCTTAAAAAATTTAAAATCCCACGATTGGCACTAATTAACATATGCGTAACTTTATTGCATGGAGCCTACCCTTAATTATGGCATTCACTATTAAAAACATAAGTGTAACGCCCCTTTACTACATGTGTAACCCCCTTTATGACAGTGTCAAAATACTTTGGGCTGCATGTATAAATATGAGCACATCTGGAGAATGCCAAGAAAGAATATTTTTAGTAAGTGGGCATTTAAAGATAATTCAGAAAATAAACAAAAAACCTTAATGCCTTTAATTTTGGAATATTTAAAAAGAGATACATCTTTTTCTATGGAAGCTTTAACAAAGGAACAAATTTTTATGTCTTAATTTAATAGTTATTTTCAATAATGATTTGAGGTTAATTCAATTTACACATCTAAACTCAATAAGTCAGATGCAGCAATCAATTGTTTAAAGTACTTTATAATATAAATAAATGTCTGACTTATCAAGTTTAGATGTGTAATAATTTTTAGGGTAAACATATATATAGAAGGTCTTTTTATGAAATATACAGAAGAAAGAACCTAGCATCAGGAAATTTTATAAGGGGTATATATCAATGAAAATCCATTTGATAATATGTCGATATGGATAAATATGGATAAATTATTGGGATGTTACTAAGGTTGTGGGCAAAACCTCTTAATGACTGTTGAAACTCTGTCGAAACTCTAATGAACAATTAATGTGTAACCTGT